TGGGGGCCTGCCAGTACGGTAGGTTTTGGGGAGTCCAAAGTCTTAAGCACTTTGTGATATATTTTCCCAAGTAAGAAGGTAAGATGTTGTGCTTTGTACCGACTATCATTAAAAAGATAGTACAGCACTTGGCAGATTCCTGTAGAGGCCTTCTGGGAGTGAGGCTCTGATCCATTTATCGAGTGATTTATAATGGTTCATGTTCTGAGTGAGAGCACAGCAAAAGAAGGCTCTGCCGCAGGTTCAGGCATTGAACGTGCCCTGTCGTCCGTAAGATTAAATGGTGCTCCAAGTATCAGTGATACATAAAAGTGCCATACTATAGCCTCTGGCAACGACATTAAAAGATGCATGACACAGCTCCCTAGTGTTTGGGGCAAGTCTTCTGCTGATAACGGTTTCATTTTGAGAAGCCCCTCCTGACTTGCCATTGAGACCTGGTAGAGGCTGAGTGCTAGAACACTGGACACCAAGACACTGAGATGTCTGCCATACATTAGGGGTTATCAGATTTATCCATAAGATTGTGCAGGATCAGTCATGATGACATTGAAACAGTATGGTCTGTATTAGACTCATGAAGGCATGGAAAGGACAAGAAAGCTGTATGGACAGGTGGCTCAGGCTCTCATGACACCTACTCATGCTGCATTGCTTTCTTCTACCCACTCTTATGGCCTCATAGAGAGTTTCTTGCAAATAGCTGACATATAAGGAAACAAAAACTCAGGTCTTGTTTATAGAGAGTTCGACAGGATAAGCTGGCACCAGCTGGAAATGATCTAGTGCTGTTTTGCTTGAGCACTCAGAGGAGGCTGTCTGGTGAATGGAAAACATCAGGCAATATATAAACTTTTCCACTTTGCCTGGAAGGAGGCGTGGCCTAAGGATCTTACTCATGGGTGGCAACTAATGGCTTGACTTGGTGATGAACTTGGAAAAACAGGATTGGATGATTGATGGTAGAGGGCTCTAGAGAAGATGTTTGTGAATGTTCCTGTTGTAATGGGTACAGGGAGGGATGATATTGTGTCTCATGTGATTTCCCATAAAAATATAGCCACTGCAGAGGAGGCTTTCAAAAGTCATTTGAACAAGTTGGCTCATCTTATGAATGTTGGCCAGTCTCTTTCCCCAGGCATCCTATAACTTTGTATAAAGTGACTATGGTGCCGGGATGGAAACTTCACATGGATTCAACAACACGGCCTCCCTCTCATCAAGGCTGATATGGCTATTGCCCCTGCTTGCTGCCCAACTTACCAGTAGCAGAGGCCAATCCTAGGGACTAGATGTGGCTCCATTTCCCAAGGAGACCGGCTAACCACTTAGGGCTAAGTTAATAACATTGCTCTCTTCCATCATGGAGAAGGCAGTGATTTGTTCTCATTGGAATAGATACTTATTCTCAGTTTTGATTTTCCTTCCTTATTCACAATACTACTACTGCAAACAACAACTGAGGACTTAGAGAAAGCTTTATTCATCCTAATGGTATTCTACACATTGCTTCTATCCAAGGAACTAATTTCACCGCAAGAGTCATGTAGCAGTAAGTTCTTTATTCCCATGGTGGGATGTTTGTAGTAGAAGAAGAAATAGCGATCCTATCAAACTAGAGGTTCAGACTAACACCTAGGTATTTGGGGCCTTTTAAACCACAAAATTAACAGATAGAGAAGGAATCTAGGTGGTTGATCTCAATTAAAGGCGACAACTGGATTGCTTTTACAAATGGAAGATGTTGATATTATTTCTGCAAACCCAGGAGTTAACTGAGTTATCTCTTAGTAATTCCGTGTCTGATAGTAAATGTCAGTGGAAGCATAGAGCAGCCCAATAAGGGCAGGAACCCTAAGGAGTCAGACACATCAGGAATTAAGGCTTAGATTATGCCATTGTTAAAAACACCAACCACCTGAGGCACTGTTGGGAGCAAGAGAAACAAAATAGCAAGAGTAAGAAAAATCTTATGAATATGGCCTTGGAACTAGGTACAGACTCTAGAATTATAGCAGCTATGAATATATCCTTAACGTATATATTTCTCAGTGACTGTCCCCCTTTTCCTTCCACTATTATTTTGTATGAGATGTGATGTTGACACTTAAATTTATTTAAGTCGTGGCCATAAGGAAACATATGTAGGTCTTATGGTAAGAACCGGTTATCTTGGAGATCCTGAACTTGAATTTGATTCAATGACTAATAGTCCTTAGTGTCTCCCTTTTTCAGGGGGAAGAGGGCGACAGTATCTATATTTGTACAATGGATAGGCATTTGATGTTAGGTGAAAACATTTAGTTATTAAATATGAGAAGAATAATGAGCATAGACGCTGAGTAATAGAAGTCAGTGGACAGTGAAAGCCCTGGGTCTCTCAGTCCTCAGATTCATTCCTTGCCCTCTCCTTGCTCTCCCATATATCATGGGTCTAATTCTTGTCAATATCCCTTGTCGGCCAGCTTCTGGTTGAGGTTTAGCCAATGATAGGCCCTAGAGGAAAATTAAATGAATGAAGGAAAAGTAGCTTCCTCTGCGTCCTCTGTGGTGTAACCGGCAGATGCTGCATTTCCTTGATGATTCCAGTCCTCTCTGGACAGGCCTACCATGGTTACCACAGGTGACCTAGGCCAGTGTCACTGCCTCTTCCTCTTGTTCCTCCAGTCTGGGGACAATAGTGGCTCCTAGCTTTTGCTGATCTCTGCATTACTTCACTGTCTTTTACTTGGCCTCTCAGCCTGCCCTTCATCTGTGCAGCCAGTTCTCTAAAGATGCGTTCTTTGTGTCTTAAGGCAAAGTGGTTCCTACTTTTCTTTGTTGTTGTTGGACTCTGACTGATAAACTAAATCAATAAAACCCAAATTGCTATGAATCTGTTTAAACAGTGAATAAAGTGAACAAAATTATTCTCAAAATAAAAATAAATACAAAGAAAAGATGATACAACATTTACCTGGGTTTAAAACCGTAGTTTAATCTAACACAGATGAGGAGGTTGGTGGAAAACCGTTTGGGCACATGTAGTCACACAGACATTTAACACATTAGAAGGAAGAAGGCAATATACAAATTATGCCGTTTCACTCTTGACTCTGATTTTAATTGCAATACAAATTTAATGCAGCCTTTCAAAGCCTTAAGGCCAATAAATAAAGAATGGCAATGAGATACACACTTCACAGAAACAAAACATAGAGGCAAAAAAATATATATTTGTATACAAAAACACTGGCAACAAAAATAACATCAAGGCAGCATTAAAAACATATAAAAAATTATATGTCAGATATAAGTAAGGCCAGATGAATCACTTATTTTAAAAAAGATAAATGAATTAAGCCAGCATGTGAACAGGAAAAAAACAGTCTCAGTTTGAGTCAAAAGCAAATATACTTATGTGCATATATATATGTTTATGAAATATATTCAAGTAAAAATAGACCAGAAGACGTAGCAGTGTTCTGAGACTAAGATTTTACATAAAAAGCAGTTTGTAATTCTCAGCACTCGTGGTGTAAACACATATCCTCCTGCTTCCTCAGCAATACCTGCTATTTCCTGGTCTAGAGGCCTTCTACCCTACTCCCCAGAGAATAATCCTTCCGTCTTTACTGGAGGCCCTGGTGGGAGAGAAAAAGGTGAGAGGCAGGCAGAAGCCAGGGCGTTTACTTGGTGAGGGAGCACTTGCCCACTGCGTGAAGCGAAGGAAGAGATGGTTCAGTCTGTTGTTTCCTAAACTGACTTTCAAAGAATCTTCCATTTTAACTCTGTCTTCAGCCTCAGCTCCTGAGCTACCTTCAGCTGCCATTCTTAAGCCTCCTGAGAGGGTGGGCAGCAAAAATAGTGATGTGTTTCAATTTCCCCCACTGCTCACTTAGGATTCAGTTTACTTAGGATTTCTTTACCAGTTACCACTGTCCATGGCTTTCCAGCTTCCAAGGTACCGTGGGTAGACTCCTCTCCCGATCCTGTTGCCTTTTGTGAGCTGAACCTTTTTTCCCTCTTTTTTTAATCCCGTCACTCTTGTTTATTTGATATTATGGGCAGTGAAGGGAGAACTGGGAGGGGGAATTCACTGGTAATTCAGGAGTTCAATTGGCCATCTCTAGCCAGAAGAACCCCGTTATTCTATTGAGTTGTTCTTTCTTTATGTTTTTTACTTTTAAAAACTCTCTGTAGATTCTGGATATGAATGTTTTGTCTAGTATGAGTAGACAGCTGTAATTCAGTTCTATAATTGAAGAAGGGAGGAAGGGAAAATAGTGGACAACCAGCTGTCACTGCCCCAGCCTGCTCTACTTGGTTCCCACATATCCAGGCCTGTCCTTCTTTCCAACGTAGAACATACTCAAGCCTCCCCAAGGTAAACAATGCCAAGTCCTATACACTGATTGTGTCCAGATCAAAGTATTGCTCCCTGTGGCCCTGTGATTGATGTGTTACTTGCAGCCCTTCTAACACACCTTATGCACAATGGTGAGTTTGAACTCGTTAACTTAAAATAATTCTTACATGGAAGAGGGAAGAACAGGAAGCACACACTTCCTGCACGATAGCAATAAAGAATTCTTGCTGTGAAGGACTTGCTCTGACTCCCTGCTCTGGTCACAGAGAGATTTCTTCCTTTAGACATTGATTCAGCTGCTTGGGCAGAACTCCCTAAGTCCATTTTCAGTGTGGCCTCTGGATGTGCCCTCTGAGGGCAAACGTTACTCCACTTCCTTTTGTAGCCACAGAAGTACTACTGGAAGTTGAACAGCTTTCACCACCTGCTTCCTACTGACGTGGCTTGGCTCTAGTGGGATTATTTCCGGGAATGAAATAGTCACATGATTTTGAGTGTCAAGTATATGATTTTTTGGTAATATAATTGCCTTCTCTGACTTAGTAATGTCCTAGTTTGTATGTTCAAAGATGTCCTTTAGAAAAATTAAGACCTCCAGGTTTCCTCTTTTATTACATCAGGACTTTTGCCTGACACATTGTTTTTACCTCAGGTTTATTTTGGCTGCCTTAATGCCATGTGAAAACTTAAGCTTCAGGAGGAGCTTCAAGATGGTGGAAGAGTGAGACGCAGAGATCACCTTCCTCTCCACAAATACATCAGAACTACATCTACATGTGGAACAACTCCTACAGAACACCTACTGAACGCTGGCAGAAGACCTCAGACCTCCCAAAAGGTAAGAAACCCCCCACGTACCTGGGTAGGGCAAAAGAAAAAAGAAAAACAGAGACAAAAGAATAGGCACGGGACCTGCACGAGTGGGAGGGAGCTGTGAAGGAGGAAACGTTTCCACACTCTAGGAAGCCCCTTCACGGGCGGAGACTGCGGGTGGCAGAGAGGGGAGCTTCGGGGCCGTGGAGAAGAGCACAGCAACAGGGGTGCGGAGGGCAAAGCGGGGAGATTCCCGCACAGAGGATCAGGGCCGACCAGCACTCACCAGGCCGAGAGGCTTGTCTGCTCACCCGCCGGGGCGGGCGGGGCTGGGAGCTGAGGCTCGGGCTTTGGTTGGAGCGCCGGGAGAGGACTGGGGTTGGCGGGGTGAACACAGCCTGCAGGGGGTTAGTGCACCACGGCTAGGCGGGAGGGAGTCTGGGAAAAAGTCTGGACCTGCCGAAGAGGCAAGAGACTTTTTCTTGCCTCTGTTTCCTGGTGCACGAGGAGAGGGGATTAAGAGTGCCGCTTAAAAGAGCTCCAGAGACGGGCGCGAGCCGCGGCTAAAAGCGCGGACCCCAAAGACGGGCATGAGACGCTAAGGCTGCTGCTGCCGCCACCAAGAAGCCTGTGTGCGAGCACAGGTCACTATCCACACCCCCCTTCCGGGATGCCTGTGCAGCCTGTCACTGTCTGGGTCCCGGGATCCAAAGACAACTTACCCGGGAGAACGCAAGGCACGCCTCAGGCTGGTGCAACGTCACGCTGGCCTCTGCCGACGCAGGCCCGACCCGCACTCCGTGCCCCTCCCTCCCCCGGCCTGAGTGAGCCAGAGCCCCCGAATCATAGGCTCCTTTAACCCCGTCCTGTCTGAACGAAGAAGAGACGCCCTCCGGCGACCTACACGCAGAGGCGGGGCCAAATCCAAAACTGAACCCCTGGGAGCTGTGCGAACAAAGAGAAAGGGAAATCTTTCCCAGCAGCCTCAGGAGCAGCGGATTAAATCTCCACAATCAACTTGATGTACCCTACATCTGTGGAATACCTGAATAGACAACAAATCATCCCAAATTAAGGTGGTGGACTTTGGAAGCAAAGATATATATTTTTCCCTTTTGCTCTTTTTGTGAGTGTGTATGTGTATGCTTCTGTGTGATTTTGTCTGTATAGCTTTCCTTTTACCATTTGTCCTAGGGATCTGTCTGACCATTTTTTTAAATTACTTTTTAATTTTTTTTCTTAATAATTATTTTATATTTTAATAACTATTTTATTTTACTTTATTTTATTTTATCTTCTTTCTTTCTTTTCTTTCTATTTTTTTCTCTCTTTTATTCTGAGCCATGTGGAGGACAGACTCTTGGTGCTCCAGCCAGGCGTCAGGGCTGTGCATCTGAAGTGGGCGAGCCAAGTTCAGGACACTGGTCCACAAGTACCTCCCAGCTCCACGTAATATCAAACGGCGAAAATCTCCCAGAGATCTCCATCTAAACACCAGCACCCAGCTTCACTCAACGACCAGCAGGCTACAGTGCTGGACGCCCTATGCCAAACAACTAGCAAGACAGGAAAACAACCCCATCCATTAGCAGAGAGGCTGCCTAAAATCATAATAAGGCCACAGACACCCCAAAACACACCAGCAGATGTGGACCTGCCCACCAGAAAGTCAAGATCCAGCCTCATCCACCAGAACACAGGCACTAGTCCCCTCCACCAGGAAGCCTACACAACCCACTGAACCAACCTTAGCCACTGGGGACAGACACCAAAAACAACAAGAACTACGAACCTGCAGTCTGTGAAAAGGAGACCCCAATACAGTAAGTTAAGCAAAATGAGAAGACAGAGAAACACACAGCAGATGAAGGAGCAAGATAAAAACCGACCAGACCTAAAGAGGAAATAAGTAGTCTACCTGAAAAAAAATTCAGAATACTGATAGTAAAGATGATCCAAAATCTAGGAAATAGAATAGAGAAAATACAAGAAATGTTTAACAAGGACCTAGAAGAACTAAAGAGCAAACCAACAGTGATGAACAACACAATAAATGAAATTAAAAATTCTCTAGGAGGGATCAATAGAATAACTGAGGCAGAAGAACAGATAAGTGACCTGGAAGATAAAAGAGTGGAAATAACTACTGCAGAGCAGAATAAAGAATGAAAAGAATTGAGGACATTCTCAGAGACCTCTGGGACAACATTAAATGCACCAACATTTGAATTATAGGGGTCCCAGAAGAAGAAGAGGAAAAGAAAGGGACTGAGAAAATATTTGAAGAGATTATGGCTGAAAACATCCCTAATATGGGAAAGGAAATAATCAAGTCCAGGAAGCACAGAGAGTCCCATACAGGATAAATCCAAGGAGAAAAACGCCGACACATATTAATCAAACTATCAAAAATTAAATAAAATGAAAAAATATTAAAAGCAGCAAGGGAAAAACAACAAATAACACACAAGGGAATCCCCATAAAGTTAACAGCTGATCTCTCAGCAGAAACTCTGCAAGCCAGAAGGGAGTGGCAGGACATACTGAAAGTGATGAAGGAGAAAAACCTGCAACCAAGATTACTCTACCCAGCAAGGATCTCATTCAGATTTGATGGAGAAATTGAAACCTTTACAGACAAGCAAAAGCTAAGAGAATTCAGCACCACCAAACCAGCATTACAACAAATGCTAAAGGAACATCTCTAGGCAGGAAACACAAGAGAAGGAAAAGACCTACAATAACAAACCCAAAACAATTAAGAAAATGGGAATAGGAAAATACATATCGATAATTACCTTCAGTGTAAATGGATGAAATGCTCCCACCAAAAGACACAGACTGGCTGAATGGATGCAAAAACAAGACCCATATATATGCTGTCTACAAGAGACCCACTTAAGACCTAGGGACACATACAGACTGAAAGTGAGGGGATGGAAAAAGATATTCCATGCAAATGGAAATCAAAAGAAAGCTGGAGTAGCAATTCTCATATCAGACAAAATAGACTTTAAAATAAAGACTATTACAAGAGACAAAGAAGGATACTACATAATAATCAAGGGATCGATCCAGGAAGAAGATATAACAATTGTAAATATTTATGCACCCAACATAGGAGCACCTCAATACATAAGGCAAATACTAATAGCCATAAAAAGTGAAATCAACAGTAACGAATCATAGTAGGGTTCTTTAACACCCCACTTTCACCAATGGACAGATCACCCAAAATGAAAATAAATAAGGAAACACAAGCTTTAAATAATACATTAAGCAAGATGGACTTAATTGATATTTATAGGACATTCCATCCAAAAACAACGGAATACACATTCTTCTCAAGTGCTCATGGAACATTCTCCAGAATAGATCATATCTTGGGTCACAAATCTAGCCTTGGTAAATTTAAGAAAATTGAAATCGTATCAAGTGTCTTTTCAGACCACAACGCTATGAGACTAGATATCAATTACAGGAAAAAATCTGTAAAAAATACAAACACATGGAGGCTAAAAAATACACTACTAAATAACCAAGAGATCACTGAAGAAATCAAAGAGGAAATCAAAAAATACCTAGAAACAAATGACAATGAAAACACGATGACCCAAAACCTATGGGATACAGCAAAAGCAGTTCTAAGAGGAAAGTTTATAGCAGTACAATCCTACCTTAAGAAACAAGAATCATCTCAAATAAACAACCTAACCTTACACCTAAAGCAATTAGAGAAAGAAGAACAAAAAAACCCCAAAGTTAACAGAAGGATAGAAATCATAGAGACCAGATCAGAAATAAATGAAAAAGAAATGAAGGAAACGATAGCAAAGATCAATAAAACTAAAAGCTGGTTCTTTGAGAAGATAAACAAAATTGATAAACCATTAGCCAGACTCATCAAGAAAAAAAGGAAGACTCAAATCAACTGAATTAGAAATGGAAAAGGAGAAGTAACAACAGACGCTGCAGAAATACAAAGGATCATGAGAGATTACTACAAGCAACTCTATGCCAATAAAATGAACAACCTGGAAGAAATGGACAAATTCTTAGAAATGTACAATCTTCCAAGACTGAACCAGAAAGAATAGAAAATATGAACAGACCAATCACAAGCACTGAAATTGAAACTGTGATGAAAAATCCTCGAACAAATGAAAGCCCAGGACCAGATGGCTTTACAGGTGAATTCTATCAAACATTTAGAGAAGAGCTAACACCTATCCTTCTCAAACTCTTCCAAAATATAGCAGAGGGAGGAACACTCCCAACTCATTCTATGAGGCCACCATCACCCTGATACCAAAACCAGACAAAGATGTCACAAAGAAAGAAAACTACAGGCCAATATCACTGATGAACATAGATGCAAAAATCCTCAACAAAATACTAGCACACAGAATCCAACAGCACATTAAAAGGCTCATACACCATGATCAAGTGGGGTTTATCCCAGGAATGCAAGAATTCTTACACACAAATCAATCAATGTGGTACACCGTATTAACAAATTGAAGGAGAAAAAGCATATGATCATCTCAGTCGATGCAGAGAAAGCTTTTGACAAACTTCAACACCCATTTATAATAAAAACCCTTCAGAAAGTAGGCATAGAGGGAACTTTGCTCAACGTAATAAAGGCCATATATGACAAACCCACAGCCAATATCGTCCTTAATGGTGAAAAACTGAAACCATTTCCACTAAGATGAGGAACAAGACAAGGTTGCCCACTCTCACCACTTTTATTCAACATAGTTTTGGAAGTTCTAGCCACAGAAATCAGAGAAGAAAAAGAAATAAAAGGAATCTAAATCAGAAAAGAAGAAGTAAAGCTGTCACTGTTTGCAGATGACATGATACTATACATAGAGAATCCTAAAGGTGCTACCAGAAAAC